TCTCGATCTGTCGCTCTCTCTTCCTCGCCCAATCTCTTCTACCACCCTCCCTCCTCCCTACGTACCCGAGAAGACAAACGTTCTACCCGGCGATGCGTCTCCTGCTCCCCCACATCGACTCGAGCTCGTCCGGCGTACGGCTCAGGAGGTGGCCCTGGCCAAACACTATACATCGACATACTCAACATCTCTAAAGAGAGCACAGGACGCTCAGAACTGCTCCCACTAAGGCCCTCAGATGCTAAGCAGTACAGTACGCAGGTTCATTCACCATTGCATTGTATCTGAAGTGTGTAACCGAATGTAGAACATGTTGAACTTTTCTATAACCAGTTAAACTTTTCATGCTTAAAAGCCTTTAATAATTTGTGAGGGAATTGAGTTCCCCTGGTCATCTGTTGTCTAGTGGTTCATTCTTTGCAGAAGGAGGATGTGGGGGATTTTGCTGCCGTCGCTTACTTTGTTCTCAAGAACAGGTGTCCAGAGAGGGGAAGGTACTAGAGCATGCACCACACACTCAGAGAGCCACGTCTTTCACATATCCTGGCCTCACTTAAGACCGAAATTAGTGCTTGCATTTACTCTCTGCTGCTCCAAATGCTTCCCATTTCTACTGCCTTCACACAACACAAACACCCATTGGCCAATAATGGAATATTACTGTTCTTGAGCTAAGTATCAACATCCACCATACTTAGTCATTCTCTCAAGTGTAAAGCTGTTTGCTGTGCATTATATAGAGCACACACCTTCTACTTCCATGAACTACTTGCGTATCTCTCCCCACACACAGCCTAACAGTGGCCGAGGTGAACCAGTATCTGGATGACCTGGCTCAGTCCAACGTGAAGAAGGATAGACCGGGCGTAAAGAAGGCACTGCAGCTGCTGTTGAGAAACACAAGTGCCGTTGAACAGAAATGGCTCATTAGGATCATCCTCAAGGTGTGTATACTTTTTCACTACTGAATGCTAATATGTGCATAGTACCTTTGTGTGTTAAAGCTCTCTATGATTTATTACTCAGCATATTTAGCTGTTTGTACTAGCTGGTGGAGTTATGTATTGAACCGTTCCGTGAGTCAGTATAAGTGCTGGCATGGATATGCTTGGACTGTTGTAAAGACTGTACTGTACTGTACTGTGCATTACACCATTCCGTGAGTAATGGACGTGCTGTGCATTTGTCTGTTGTGCAGGATCTGAAGACTGGGATGAGTGAGAATTCTGTGTTCAGTGTATTTCATCCAGACGCCAGCGAACTATTCACAGTCTGCAGCAGCCTTGAGAAAGTACACTATATGCAATAGCATAAACTGAAAATGAAAATAGAATTTCGCAAATGTATGGGCACAATGCTGGAAAAACCAGTGTAATCCTTATTGTTACCATACTTAGTGTTTTGTCTTACTCCAAAGGTGTGTAGTGACCTTCGCGACCCCAACACCAGGCTAACGAAGCCGCCATTGACTACTTCACTCCGTTCAGACCAATGCTCGGCCAAAGAGCCACTATCGACCAGGTTAATCAGCGTACGTCTGCACAATGCACGAACCACCGAGTCTTAGTTCATGAGTGCAAATCGATTTCAAAATTTGCCCCCCCTCTGGTAAAATAACCCTATTAGCACTTCACTTTCCTCGCCCACAACTTAACTATAAGCCTTCAAAACACACTATAATGTTACTCACAGATATCACTAGCCATGCACATGAGCTACGTACATATAAGGTTCTTTGTTCAGGTGATGAAGCTGATGGACAACGGCCCATTTTACCTGGAGACTAAGTTCGATGGAGACAGGATACAGCTGCACCGACAGGGAAACTCTTACCGCTACTTTTCTCGAAGGTACGTGTGCTCTAGTCCTAACAAGTAGATTAATATCCCACGAAGAGGAATATAGAGATGGTATAATATACTTTCTACACTATCCACTATGACTGCACAGTCGAACCTGTTTAGGTGACTCTCTAATTAAGAACACATGTGTTTCTCTTGTCTCCAGGGCATATACCTTGAAACATAATTGCCCACTTTAATATTGCACAAGAATAAAGTTGGGGACCTGTACACTATATTGTATAAAGTGAGTGTTTCTATGTTGTTCTGCTCTTGATTGATGTACAGCTCTAAGGACTATACGACCTCCTTCGGTGCAAGTCCATATGAGGGCAGCTTCACTCCTATGATACACGATGCCTTCAACAGGTATTATACACACATACACACCTTCTATGCAAGTCCATATGAGGGCAGCTTCACTCCTATGATACACGATGCCTTCAACAGGTATTATACACACATACACACCTTCTATGCAAGTCCATATGAGGGCAGCTTCACTCCTATGATACACGATGCCTTCAACAGGTATTATACCCACATACACACCTTCTATGCACTATCATACGTCATATGGTGTACGTAATATTATACTGACATCATGCTACGATTGTTGCGCAAGAGATTGCCGATTTCTTTTGCTGGCGTGTGCAGTCACATTTATTGCACTTGTGTCAACTCCACTCTATCACACACTCATCACGTGGAGAATAGTAAAGTGAAAGGTTGTATTCTGGACGGCGAGATGGTTGGCTGGGACGCCGAAACCGAGATTTTTCTGTGAGTCAACAGCACAAGGTCTTGCTAATAGACTTTCAATTTCTGTTTCTGTTGTTTGTAGGCCCAAAGGAGATCACGTGGACGTCAAGACAATCGGAAGAGACGAAGACAGTGGTATAGGTTAAATCTTAATAGTAGAAGGAGAAATGTTATGAAGAATAGAAGAAAATGAGATTATACTACTAGAGTTAAGAATAAACTCGGATTAATATAAAAAGAAAGGAGCAAGAAGAAAGTGATTCAGTAAAATGACGCACAAGTTAAAAATAGGAGAAAGTGACTAATGACACAAACATAGTTTAAAAATAGATAAGAAGAAAGTGACTCAGTGAAATTACGCACACAAGTTTAAAAATAGAAGAAAAAGTGCCTCATGGAATGGAGTAGAAGGAAATGGGAAGTAAGTAGCTTATATGTAGCATAGGTAGAATGATCATGCCTTATATAGGTATCCCTACATCACAGCACGTCCATGGTCATGTGATAATCATGTGATACATTATGTAATGTGATAATGCAGGCATCCAGCAGTGTTTCGTGGTGTTTGACGTGCTGATGGTGAACGACACTAACTTTGCCAACCGTCCCTTGAGTGAGAGAGCTGAACAACTCAAAAAGTACGATTCTTCTTGTGGCCATGTCCCAGTCAATAGTTCATCTTTTTTCTGTCCCTGTTCTCTTAGGGTTTTCGAGCCAGTCAAGGGATACATACATTTGGTGCACAGGAGAGGAGCTACCACAAAGTGTGTTCAAATATTACCCGTAAACTAGAATGAATGGAATATTAGTGAGGGATCACAAGTGCAAATTTTTTCAGTGCATGGATGAGGATTACGGAATGGTTAAGAATCAAAAAATTGAAATGACTTGGTGGGCTCACTTTTCCAGTGCATAAAGGCAGCATCTTACCCTAGTATGCCCATATTTGTTGCAAAACGAAAGTTAAAATGAGGAAAAAAGATGCACTGACCGGGAATCGAACCCGGGCCTCCCGCGTGGCAGGCGAGAATTCTACCACTGAACCATCAGTGCTGCTCTTGGCTGGCAACTCACAATTCCCATTGTCATTGCGCCCTGTACAATACAGATTTATGAATATTCATGAGTTCAATTCACTGTTTTGACTGCTAACCGCACTGTGCATTTGTGGGACACGAAACAAGAGCAGCACTGATGGTTCAGTGGTAGAATTCTCGCCTGCCACGCGGGAGGCCCGGGTTCGATTCCCGGTCAGTGCATCTTATTCTTACTTTCCATTTCATTTTGCTTAAACGCTCGTAAATAACTGACTCTAGTGCATATCCTTGGATTTAATCTGGAAAATGCGGCCCAAAATTTTAGCAGAAAGCCTGTGAGAAAACTGGACAGGCCAACCGCAAATTGCTTGCGTTGGGGTATGGCATTTGGCTTGTTGCCTTCACCTTTACATGTAGTTATATGTGTCCTGCGGTTAGGGAGGAGTCAGCTAAATGCTGCATCATCGTTTTGGCTTGTTCTTTTTGTGTTCCAGTCCCGTGGTAAGGGCGCGGCCAATAAAGTTCCACCTTTTTGGTTCGTTCTTTGCTTGCATCATAGTCGTGTTTGTGGTGTGTGGTCAGAGCTGACCATTTCAAGTCGTGTCTTTTTGCCTTGTTTGTTGCTTGCGTGTCTCCATGCCCAGGGAGGAGGTCGTGACGGCTCTGAATGAAGCAATCGACCAGAGAGAGGAGGGACTCCTTGTCAAAAACCCCGCTTCGACCTACTGCCCTGACAAGAGAAAAGGTGGGGGGACCTCCTATAGCAACACGAGCGGTATATGTTTACAAACAGTGGGTGTTTATGGACGTTTATCGACCCTCCCTCTCCAGGAAGTGGTTGGGTGAAGATTAAGCCAGAATACGTCGATTCTCTTAGCGACCAACTCGACGTTCTCATAATTGGCGGTTACTTCGGTGAAGGCGTAAGTAATACTATTATTAGCAGTTGTTACTAAATATACCATGTCTTGTGGTTTCAGTTTCCTATTTGTTCCAAACGACAGGGGTCACACTATATATTGTAGAGTAGTGTTGTAGGTGTAAGAGGTGGTTAATGATGCAGATGATACACCAGTGGTCGTCACCGATTTACTGCTGCTTTGCAAGACTACAACAAAAACCTATGACTCATTTAGACGCAAGTGGAACCCCTGTGGTCCAAACACCAGTGGGGTTTGACTGATAGTGTCCATAGTATCGAGTGTCCTTATTTGCAAAGGGAGACGTATGTCCCCGTTTCATGGGGTCCTACAGTAGTGGTTCCACTGTGTGGACATACGTAAGTACCATTGGGAGTTACTGTTGTTGGTGTCTCTCTAACACAGAGGAGGGCAGGAATGGTGTCTCATTTTCTCTGCGGGGTTGCAGTCCCTCCGGGAATGCCGGGCGACAAACCGAGCATATTTCAATCATTCTGCAAGGTACACTCTCAATAAGGCATGTTGTGATAAGGTGTATAGTAGCTATGTATACACCAGAGAAATGTAATTTCAAGGCGGTACATAAGTAACCACAAAATGCCGACCTAATCTCCCACGAGACAAGCCACATGCACTCTTTTTCAAAAGGTCAGGTCTATTGTACTACACATGTACACCACATATAATATAGTAGTCGCAAGTATTACGTAAGTATTGCATAACTCATGATGATGTGGCTAAAGCAATGCAACAGCAAATCATATATATTCCAAGTATCACGACATGGCCGCTGGTTATTGTATCATTCAGTCATTGATCGGTATTAATTCTTCTCTTGCCAATAATTAATTAACCCTTTCCCTCCCTTCGTGAGGTGGGGTCAGGGTACACGCTGACGGAGCTACGAGATCTGGGGCTGAAACTGAAGCCCCACTGGCAGAAGTTCGACGGGAAGAGAGTGCCGGACTGTCTGGCTCTCCCCGCCGGGAGCAGGGAGAAGCCAGATGTCTGGATACCACCCTCGAAATCCTGCATCGTACAGATTAGGGCTGCCGAGATTGTTACCTCTGAGAGGTATATACATACGTATTTGGTGTAGCTATAGTGGTGCAGCTTCCTGCAAAGAAACTTATTTACATGCCAGTCACCCCACTTTGCTAGGCTTTCGTGTACACATTCATGTGACTATTGTACATATATGGTATTATTGGTATGACAGCCTTTAGCTATTTTCCCAAGACTGCAACTATAATGAAGCTACATAGGTACCCTTTATCCTGTCTTTATTGGCAAGCCATACCCACACTCTGTGTATGTACACTCATGCATGTGGAAATGAGTTGTGATTTCATGTGACTAGTCTCCATGCACAAAGCAACTTCCACCCCTTTCCCCACCCTTGTATGGATATCTAACCACTTTTAAGGACAAGTAATAACAACGGCTTAAACTGCTAAACCCCCCCCCTTGTGTGTGTAGGTATAGGACTGGCTGCACACTGAGGTTTCCACGAGTGGAGAAAGTGAGAGCCGACAAGGAATACTTTGACTGTATGACTACTGACGAGCTGGAACAGCTGAAAAACGTACGCTTGGTGTACACCAAAACATGCACATTATAACATGAGAACATGTGTCCAAACACAGAACATGGTTTTTGAAATTTTAAACCTTACCCTACATGAAAACCAGACATATCATAATAAATTATGCCACACATGACACTGGCATGTAATCTCGTTTTCATATAGAGTTGGACATTTTGAAACATGTGCAAACATGTGGAAACGTGTGTGCGACTTGTTGTTTTTTTACAGATGGCATCAGGTCGACTGGCACACAGTCACTATGACGACGAGGCTGATGGGGGCGTGGCTCCGGGGAAGAAGAAGCGAAGGGCGCTGGGGGTCAGAGTTGAGAGGCCAAAGGGCGTGGCAGCTAACTTCAGACCGACGGACACCTCAGACATACAAGAGGTCTTTAATACTTGCATGTTGCTGGGAGTAAGATAAGGGGTGAAAGTGACAGCAAAATAGAGCCAAAATAGAGCCAAGATAGTGTTACTATTCCACACTCCGGTAATAGTCACAAAGTATTGGGGATGGTTGGTTTATCATTTCGTTTACCTATGTAGCTGTAAAATTGAACCCTTATTGGGGAAATAAAGTAGAGGCGAGGGTCAGCGAGATAGTGTTGCTATTCCACGCTCCACCAATAGTCAAAGTGTTAGGGAAGGTTGGTTTATTATTTAGTTTACTCTCGTGCCTGCCAAAAAATGCAAAATCGTTGAAACCCTTATTGGGGGCAGAGGTGAGGAGGGGGTGAAATGACAGTGAAATAGAGTCGAACTGTTGCTATTCCACACTTCAACAATAGTCATGGAGTATTAGGGATCTCTACTTGTTCTCTACCATCTGCTGTAGGTGTCGAGTATGTTTGGAGGACGTGAGTTTTGTGTTGTGAACGGTACCCGGGACTTCAGCAAAGAAGAGATGGAGAAGAAAATTGTTGAGGTGCAGTAACACTATTACAGTGGAACCCCTCTCTAAGAAAACCCCTGAAATGAGCACATCTATCTCTTGTTCCTGAGTGCAATTTAACACGACACCTCGCTAATATGAATACTCTCTCTGCCTTACTTGATTAGGGGAGCTCCACTTTACAATGCCAGCCTAATATATTTATCGTTGAACCTGGAAACTTGACAAGCAATGCATTCTTCAAGTTACATATAGGAGAGTTGACTTCATTTCATGAGTGTAAATTTAGTGGATTTCCTCATAATCAATCATTACAGCATGGAGGATGTCTGGTACAGAACCCTGGAAGTGAAACCTACTGCGTTCTTGTGGCTAGACTGATTGTCCGTGCCAGCAGCATAATCAGGTTATTACCTAATCTCACCTATTATATATAGCAATACAGTGAAACCTTTGTATGAATGACACACCCTGGGACCATTAAATAGTCCTTATATACCATATAGAGTTTTCCTTTATTTAATAAATATAGCATATACATAGACCATTAAAAAGTCCTTATGTTGCGCCTCATAGAGCACACCTTCCGCCATCAAACCTACTTGGCACACGGCTCTGTAGTAATTACAGAACAATGGATGCCGCCCTTTTTAGGAAAGTGTTGTGTAAGTGCTTGACAGTACACGCACAATGCCTGAATTCCCTATAAGGAAAGCCAAGTGGGTGTTGATTAGGAAGTAGCTCAGCCCTCTGCTGTTGGTGGTAGTACAGCTAAGTGGGTGTTACTAGATCATACCTCATAATGCTTCGGTGCCGGTGTACCAAATAGAGTTTTCCTTTATTTAGTAAAACTATAGCAAACAAGTGTCCTTTATAGAGAGGTGTCTTTATAGAGAAGTGTCCTTTACAATGGTTTATTTAACAGGCTGTTTTTCCTTGTGTCTAGCACTGGGCTCTATGATGTGGTGAAGGCCTCGTGGCTCTCGGAGTGTCTGGTGAGTATAGTATGGTACATAGTATAGAGCCCAGTGCTAGACACAAGGAAAAACACAATTTGGCCACTACAACTTTAACAATAAGCCGTCTTTATAGGGACAGTTACTATAATTGTGGTGTCCCTTCATAAACAATATGAATGATTATCTCTCAGTCTCCGTCTCCCAGGAAACGCAGCAGTTCCTGTCATTTGAGCCTCGGCACATGATATCTGCCAGTCCACACACAACAGCCAAATTTGCAGAGCTCTATGATCAGGTTAAAGAGCTTCTTCCTTCCTGTGTTGCTATAGAGAAAACCACAGCGTGGCCTTGTTCTTCGCCCACCCATTCACATTATACGTAACACCAATACACCAAATTGATACTCTATTACCATAGCCTATCAACACAGACTATATATAGGTTTGATGGCGGAAGGCGCGCGAATAGAGCATACTTTCTGTCATCAAACCTACTTGGTACGTGTCTCTGTAGTAACTACGGAACCTAAAGTGTTGTGTAAGCACTTGACAGTACATGCACAATGCCTGAATTCCCTAAGGAAAGCCAAGTGGAGTACAGCTAAGTAGGTGTTACTACAAGCCAATAAATCATACCTCATAAGGCATGGTTGCCTGGTAAAGTGTACCAAATATGGTTTATTTTACTCCTGTACACTTAATTTGTAGTATGGTGACAGCTACACTGATGATGTGACAGAAGAGGGGCTGAGAGAGATCTTCATGAAAGTTGCAGAGATAGTGAGCCGCTCCAGATAATGGCGTAACTTTCTCCCCTCACCCATTACAATCTCCTTGCTTTTCTCTTTGTTCTGTCTCTCCTCCCCCTCCCTCCCCTTTCTCCCTTGTCTCTCCCTCCCTCTTCTTCTCTCTCGCCCTCCTTTCTAAAGGGTGGAGAAAGGTTAAGAGTAACTCGGGAAGAAATAGCAGAAATGGAGAGTCGGTATTTTCCCAACAGCAGTCCTGGAGGGCTATTCAGGCAGTGCAAGTGAGCAGCTAACTCTCTCTAATCTCATAAAACACTGGAATAAAAAATTGCTGGCATCGTTTCAGTTGCACCACGTTCTGTGAGGCTTACATTTCTGCACTGTCAAGGTTTCGTGCCAATTTGTCAGGGAAAGTTTATCAATCTTGTGCACTGTTTAATGACACCAGTCTCGCACACTGTCAAGTCACTGGCAACGAAACACCTTTCGTTTCACAGCTTCTTAAACAACTGAAAATTACACATTGGGAATAAGTGAGATCATAACCTACTATATACGTAGCTGCTGCTGCTGGCTGTAGGTCGATGTCTGTGGTTTAGTATGATAACTTAGAGTCAGCATAACCAGCCACAGGCAGTAAAAACCCAGTTTCAAGCACAAAGGTCATTAGCTCTACACTAAATTTACAGGTAAACACTATATAAAATATTAGTGAAACTTTCTTACCTAACAAAGTATGTAATAACATACACACACACACCAGCACACACAGACACAAGTCACTGTCAACAAACACCTCGTTTCAACACTGCATTACACATTAGAGTATGTGATCTCATAACCACTACAGCTGCTGCTGACTGTATAGGTCTGCTGTCTGTGGTTTAGCATAACCAGCCACAGACATCCTTTAGCAGTAAACCACGGTCTCCCCAAAGATTATTACTCACACACACACACTCCCTCTTTCTAACACACACACCACACACACACACCGCACACACAGACACACTTCCATAATCATACACTTCTCCTATACACAGGGTGTATCTGGACAGATATTCAACAGTGGGCAAACAAGAGACTGTACGTGAAACCCCCCCCCCTTACTATACTCACTATACCACCATAAATCGGTTTGGAATTTCCTCCTAGCTATAACCAAACTGACCTCTCTATACAGAACTGCTGATTCACAGCCATAGCCAAAATGAATTTTCCTAGTCTTTTGGCCACCAAATCAATCTTTCAACTTTGCCGTATTGTGTGTTTCTTGTTAGGCAATAGAAGCTTGTCCTCTGGAGCTGACTGGGCTGGAGCTGCAAATGTATGGAGCTGAGGTGGCACGTGACTTTGATGAAACTGTCACACACGTCGTTTTCGACAAAGAGTAATCCATTTATTCCATTTGTGTGCTCTGAATGGTTTTATAAAGGGAATATGGCAGTATAATACAATCATAAGGGTTAAATTTACTACACATAATACTAGACAATAGGGCCAGTGAGAGATGCAATGAGGTTTCTGTTTTCAGTAAAACTGTACTGCTACATTCCAATGAAAGGGTACGTAAGGGCTAAATTTAGAAACATTTTCTAAAGATAGAACTAAACAATAGGGTCCAGTGAAAGAATGCGATGAAGTTTATAATTTCAGTAGCATTTTCTTAATTAGGCCAATATTATACTGCCACGTTCCCTTTAATTGTGTTTTCTGTCGTTGTGTAGTGATTTGAGGCGCATCCCAGAGCTACGCAGACTGGAACGGAATCACGCCAAGAAGCACCATTTTGTCACAATGGAATGGGTTCGAGACTCAATCGAATGTGAATTTATGAAGAACGAGAGACTGTATGAACCCAATGTGTAGTCACTGTTGATTTCTCATGCATGTGAAATACCAGCTCATGCTCTACTTATAGAAGAAAGAAAGTAGAAAGAAGGGCAAGAGTGGCTTTTGGTGCTTTACCAAACCGGATGGCGAGCTGCTCAAAGTGATAGTGCATTATGTGCAAGTTTTGCTTAGTCATAGTCAGGCCCGTACTAAGTATTTTAGGCAAATGGGATGGCAAAAACATGGGATGGCATAAACATGTGATACCACAATATCCTGTGGGTTAATGCAAAAACAGGTGTAATACTCTAGGGACCCAGAGCGGTGGAAATGGGATAGCAAAAGAGCATGCACTAGATTGAATACATGACTAGGGATTAGGCCTGTGGTGATGTCACGCTATTATGGAGATGGGATAGCAACATGTAATATACGAGAAAGTTGCTGGCTAGAAGTTCTCAGGACCTATTCAACTGAATATGCACATTGAGCATAATGTTTCTGTGGCAGGCACATGTTTCTGTGGCAGGCTGACACCCTTCACGGGAAAAGTAGCTATCATGTATAGAGAGAAACATATTAGAAAGTTGCTGGTTAGGAGCTTTCATGACCTATTCAACTGAATATGCACCTGTTTCTGTAAGTCACCCACTGAAATGGAGATGCACTATTTAAAGAGGTGCTCACTATTCAGCGCTTGTAGTAAGAGCACCACCTCAACAACAGTTGATCTGCCCACTCACATAGCACATAGCAGTATTCTCTGAGATCAGGTGGTGTGGGCAGACCAAATTTGTTAAGCGTGCTCATCTGTATAATGAATCTATACTATCAATGAATTTGGTATGACGCATGGTTGTCACCACGCTATTGTGGAATTGACGTCAGTTGGTCACGCACAATGTGATGGGCATAAGAAGCTTATCTCTGTAAACAACTATCATGCTATATGCGTAGGCGAAACACATAATATTATACAACACGTACACTAGTCTATATTATAATAACTGTACAAAGGGAGGCACAAGCAGATTCATGGACGGAAAGTCTCTGCGCACATTGCTATTGTGCAAGGTGGTGGGAAGGAGCTGCCTTTTGTGTGGGCAACACAATGAGTATGTACTCCCAACTACTACCTTCACATGACACGGACGTGGTGGCGATGGGCCCTCATGCGTGGGCAATAAACCCACTCAAAATTCGCACAAACAACATTCCACAGTGTCAGGTGTTCATAGCCAGGCATGCTTGGTGATCACATGGAAATGTAATGAATTTGATACTTACACAGGTGTCCATTCACAACTATTATAGATGTTTTGTATGTGACCCGAAAAAACCAATTTTGAATCGAATCTTGCAACAAGCAACAAGCCCCAGTGTCGTGTGTGTGCATAGGTCAGCGCACACCTGAAATGGTAATGGTGAATTTGATACTTGCACGTGTCCAATACCCATGCAGATTATTTACACGGTATGTAACCTGAACAATAGGTTGGCTGTGCGTGGGCAATAAACTCCCCGACCCACTCAACATGCGCACAAACAAAATTCCACACAGTGTCAGGTGTGCGTGGGTCACAACCATACTTGGAAAGGTATTGATGATCACGCGAAAAACGAAATACTTCATGCATGCATGTAACTCAACCCATAAGGGGGCGAGCGAGCACTTGAGGCTACGTACCTCTCAAACCAACAAGCTTTGAAAAACATTTTTTTTTTGAAATAATTTTTGTTAGTTTTGTTGGGTTGTGAGTGGGTTATTTGCAGAAAGTCCAATGTTACCCAAATAGCGGAAACCCTCTTGAGTGCTGCACCATTTTCACTACGCAGCCCACGTGCCGACGATGACGGGGAAATCCCTACGACACTGCGTGCGTACGCGTGCGTGCGTGCGTGCGTAAGTATAAATTCGGTCCGAGTGAGGGGCCGAGACAAAGCTAGCAGCTATGGGTTGTTTGGGCCGTAGTCAGAAGAAAGTGAAGAAAGCGAAGAAAGAAACCATTCACACTGGTAAGTAATACACTGTGTCCTACCGCTAGCTTGCTATGCTTGCGGAGCAGCATACCTAGCTACGTACGTCAAGGTTTATCGATCGCTTGTTTCTGCAGCTCCCAGCAATGCCGGCAGTAACTTTAACTTCGACACATCGCTCAACACACGCCCCGTTGAGGAGAGAGAAAGGTGCGTATCTGGACGCGCGTAGCGGCTACACACGCATGCAGCGTGCTGAATCTCATTGGTTGTGTTTATTTTGCAGACCCTCCAAAGAGCAACTGGTTGTGTCAACCACTACATACATCGGGCCAGACCAACTCTTGTGCCCAGGACTTTTCGTATGCCTCCCCAGAGAATCGTGTATTGGGGCGTGCTCACTCGAGCAACTCAGTGGTAACTCGATGAATGATGATGTAGATGATGTAGAGGAAGAGGGATTTGCACACATATCATACCAGTGCAGTGAAGATCAGCTGATGGGAGCAAACAGAAAGGATTCCCAACATCTGAAACTGTGTACGGGGCTGCAACAAGTTCTACCCAACCTGTCGTCCTACAAAACGAGGGACGGAAAGTTCTGCAACGACTCGGGATTCAGTGAAATTATCTGCACTGGATTGCTCAATGCGCTCGCGCCAGGCAGCACTGCACTTCAGACCCAGAATTCTCTCGGGGACCCCAAAGAGTCTGCCAGTGACACTATTCAGCGTGATTCCCAGCTAACCAATGACAGTGGGATCTTACTGCACGGTCACCAGTACACCCAGCAGGAGAGGAGCAAACTATATCGACCTCCCACCACCTCTCGTTCCGACATCACTTTGCCACGCAATCTGTCGCACAACTTGCATCAAGAGACAGACACTGTCACCCATGAAGATAGGGACGAACTAGTCATGGCAGGCGGAGACCACAGAATTCAAGACGCAGCTCCCACCGATAAGTTGGTGGTATCAAAACAACGCCCCCTGGATGTGGTTGGATTTTGCCCCGAGGACGAGATTGTCATGTCCACGATGTCACTTCACTCGCCCCTCACCCTCGCCTCCCACAAAGCCGACAGACTCACAATCGATAGGAGGCATTCTGACATCCGGATTTTCTCATGCAATGTGCCATGTGACTAATGCATTTTTTCACTTTTTGTGTTTCTAGCTGTATTTTTTTGGTGTTCACCGTTATTCGTCGACCAGAAATTATGCCGCCGCGCCGTTAATTGGGCATGCGCTGCGCGTATGCATGGTACGCGCATGCGCTGTGGACCCCGCTGCCTAGCAACAAACTCGCGCAGACCAGCAGAGCTGACCTCTCGTAGTGTTGTTCTGATCTACACTAAGTTGTTCATGATCCAAAAAGATGCCAGCTGGTAAGGGCACTATGTAGTGCAATAGTTTCAGTATGATGTGTCATTTTGGCAGGAAAATCAGCCAAGAAAGGAAAAGGTGAGGTCAAGAAGCGATTCTTGCGGCAAGCACAATTATAATAGCTACTCCGTACAGAAACCCCAGCAGTTCTCACGGGATGCTACGTCTTCCCAAATGGTGACCGATATGGTAAAATATGCCCTCTGACATAGTGTATGTGCAAGTTCAGCTATGGACTGAATAGACGGTGAGTATGAGGAGAAGGGACCTGGACACATAGTTCGCAGCGGACGAGGCATGCACACCTCTGCAACTGGAAATGTATATTCAGGAGAGTGGCAGGCTGACACCCTTAACGGGAAAGGTATGTAGATAGCTATCAAGGAGCAGATAGAGAGTGAGAAGTGAAGTCACATAGAAGTATATTATAAACTTTCATTTCATATTGTGTGTTCAGGGGAGATCCAGCATCCCTCAGGAGCAGTTTATAAGGTCTTGTAGTCCTCTGAATCGGTATGGAGTTGTGAAATGGTTACTCAACACAGGGAGATATAGTTGGGGGAGAGTATCACGGAGAAGGTACATACCGATGGCCAGACGGGTCCAAATACACGGGACCTTTCACTCACAACAGGTACCTACTTATGACCTCACCTCTCGCTCACTACCACTACAGTATTTACTACTACAAGCATAATAGACTGGCAAGGAAAAAGGAACTGTACCCCAGAGTGCCTGCGATTGGGTATATACAGGGGTGCATCTGACCTGCTTCAGTCTGTAGTGCACGTCATATTGGGTTATGATCTCATTCTGCACGGCAAGCTACGTATGTATTAGTCCCATAGACTCCATCAAAGGACAGAATTTCAGAATCACGTATAAAATTACGGTGCGTGCAGTGCTGGTTGAACATTACAGAAAAGGAAAAAAGGGGAAAAAACCCACATTCAGATGAGTATGCAGGTTCGCTTCACTCGTACATTACACGATGTTTGTGCTGTATGTATACTGTAGATCCAGAAATGTTGGCGTGCCATTAATGTTGGCGAATTGAGGAAAACCTGTATGTGTGTGTGTGTGATTAACTTTAAAAACACCGAAATTAATGGACACTAAAAGTGACCTATTGGTGAAAGCGCTAAAATGAATGGATGCCAACATTTCTGGACTCACAGTATTGCCTCTGTATGTGAATGTGTATGTTTCCCAGGTTGGCAGGGAGGGGAATATTCACAGACACCAGTGGTAGACAGTGGGTAGGGGAGTTCACTGGGACAACTGCAGACAGACTTAGACTGATGTTAAAATAAGACTATGGTAAAATATAGACTCAACATGCTCAATTTCTGCTAAATATAGACACACCCTATCATAATATTATTCATGAGTTACATGGAAAACAAACAGAAAGTACTCCATTAATCAAATCAGACACTCACATGGCGACTGTATAATTATACTCTAGTTAATAATCACACAAAAGGTAATGCACATTATTAAACATCTGTTACTGTATTTTAGGATGGAGTCTTGCGAATCTCCCGAGAGTCCAAATGGGAAAAACATTGCGGTAGCTGGTATAGCTTATAGCGCACGTCTTATTAAACACGCCTTTGACCCCATCCTGTAATTCGAAGACAATGAATAATGTTAGGTATTCTAATTAGATTTGCACTCTGAACCTGAGGCCAGTCCCCATTTGGGAGTTGTCTTTCCATGATGATCTATTCGGGATGAAAATCAGATTAGCAATTAAAATGTTGGAGTTCTATATACGTACCTGTATTCCCCTTGCGATTGGCTTTGGATCTGGGTACCTGCGTGTGATGTCAGAGTGTGGTCACATGAGAGTCATGTGACCAGAGGCTCAGTTCACCTGACAGCCATGAGGCCCAAGAGGGCCCAGCAGGTGTTGACAATCTGTGACGTCCTGCTCTGAACATACCTTCTTTCCTCACAAGACTGCGGACAAAATTTTACTGGGTTATCGTCCAAAATTTTAATGGGTAGTCATACAGCAAAATCCTCTCCCCATCCTCCATCTTCCATCTGTCGACTCAGCAGAAACTCACATGCCTTCTTCACCTCCACTCCTGCAGTACTACATAATGCAGCAGAGAGTATAATTATATATACACAGATTCCTTATCGCATGGCATATACACAATTCTGGGTGATGCAATTAGTTCCCGACTTTTGCTGATGCAACCACGAACCACCTTAGTTTTTGGGTCATATTTGTGAAATTTCCACCAAGTCAAAACTAAGTGAAAACCATGTGCTACAGTGACGAGAGGCTTACCCATGTTCATAGCTCCTGCCGAGACAGGCCAGGGCCTCCAGCCCAAACCAAGTCCCATACGTAAAACAGACAGCCCAGGAACTGTAGAGAAGGTCACGTACGATCATACCCACGCAGTTTAGTCATACATATGTTGTCATGTGAGTTGTGAGAAATTAATTAACAGGGACATACCCCTCCCACGATCCATCATCTCTCTGAATGCTGAGAATGTATCGGATTGCCTTCGACAAGCATCGCCTGCAGCATATTTCCAAAACCAGCCATTTAGGATTACTATATGTGGCAGAGCAGAGTGGCTGACCTGATGTCTTCTTGTCTGTAGGAGTTATGATCAGTGAAGTGTTTTAGAGCCTGGATGGAAGCCGATGTGCATTCCACATAGGTATAGTCAATCATTATGTCACCTGCAGTTGGAAATAGTCTAGTCATAATGTCATGTGTGTATATACTTCCTCATGTGTGTGTATAATACTTCCTCATAACACGACTCTAGTCTAGTGTTCAAGCTTCCTTCTCCGGCTGTGTTTAGTGGTGCCTGTCCTAGATATCACTTCCTGAGGATGTGACTTTGAAACAAGCAAGGAAACTCAATCAATCAGAGTTGTTTGTGGTTCATCCTGAATACAGTGGAACCGCAGACACCGATAAAATCACAGAGCTTTTCTTATATAGTTCAGGTTAATGAAACTGTTCTTGAGGGAAGAAGAGGTGTCCTTATTAGAGAGGTGTCCCTCGTGTCCTTTAGAGAGCGTTCCACTGTAATACGCGACTCTTTAACTAACCAAAGACTTCTGCAGGGTTCAACAGCTCCATCAATGTACTCCCTCTTTTGGTTTCATACGAGGCATAGCCACCATTGCTATTCTGCATACTCAATAGCTGCATGTGTATACAATGATGTCATTGCAGACTCAATGATGTCATACTTAATACTAGCTGCAGACTCAATGATGTCATACTAACAACGTGCAACGACATCATCTCGAGAGAGAGAGCTTGAGAGGAAGCAGATAAGGGCACAGACTTACCACGTCCACACAATTGCAGAGTTGGTTTGGGTCGACATGATCCTTGATGAATCTATCACACATGCAACAGCAGGATTATTTGGCATGATAATTTAGAGCAAAATGAGACTTTAATGGGAATGTGACAGAACAAAAGAGCTAAATTTAGAATGCAATTATGTTTCCATGTTTAGTAACATTTCTAATTAAGAACTGCTTATAAACACACCAGTGCAAGAATGCAATTATGTTTCCATAGTAACATTTCTAATTAAGTACTGCCGTGTTTGCTTATAAACACACCAGTGCAAGAATGCAATTATGTTTCCATAGTAACATTTCTAATTAAGTACTGCCCTGTTTGCTTATAAACACACCAGTGCAAGAATGCAATTATGTTTCCAACATTTCTAATTAAGTACTGCCGTGTTTGCTTATAAACACACCAGTGCAAGAATGCAATTATGTTTCCATAGTAACATTCTAATTAAGTACTGTCGTGTTTGCTTATAAACACACCTGCATTTCTCTTGCAAAAGCATGACAGATTTCAGTCCTTCCGCGGTACAGTCGGATACTATCCAGCCACACTCAACAGTGCTGAACGGAAATGCTCCCTAGAAATATACAAAACACATCGTGAACCAATCACTACATAGAATGGAGAAGATCGTTGCTAGTCAATTCTACTGAAAATTGGTTCACGGAAACTTCGTCGACTTTGGCTGAAGTTTGATAGAGCACACACTTTGTTCATGTGTCGGTAGTACTTCTTGTAGTCGGGGGGGTTATCAGGGATTTGGGTGACTTTGAAGAAATCGTGGGCTGCAGTGAGGCACTGGGAGAACCGCTTGTCTGTCGCTGCTGAAGCCTATTGGGAATATTCGTAGATCAGCCATTAGCTTGAACAGACTGGTATATATTATGTCATGGTCATGACCGAGTGTTTTGAAGGGTCCTTCTGTCATTGCATGTGTGATAGATTGACGTGTTTTTGAAAGGCTGCCTCTATCATGATAGATTGAAGTCTTAAAGAAAGGCTGCTTATATCATGATAGATTGAAGTCTTAAAGAAAGGCTGCCTACATCATGATAGATTGAAGTCTTAAAGAAAGGCTGCCTGCATCATGATAGATTGAAGTCTTAAAGAAAGGCTGCCTATATCATGCATGATAGATTGAAGTCTTAAAGAAAGGCTGCCTACATCATGATAGATTGAAGTCTTAAAGAAAGGCTGCCTACATCATGATAGATTGAAGTCTTAAAGAAAGGCTGCCTGCATCATGATAGATTGAAGTCTTAAAGAAAGGCTGCCTATATCATGCATGATAGATTGAAGTCTTAAAGAAAGGCTGCCTGCATCATGATAGATTGAAGTCTTAAAGAAAGGCTGCCTATATCATGCATGATAGATTGAAGTCTTAAAGAAAGGCTGCCTACATCATGATAGATTGAAGTCTTAAAGAAAGGCTGCCTACATCATGATAGATTGAAGTCTTAAAGAAAGGCTGCCTACATCATGATAGATTGAAGTCTTAAAGAAGGCTGCCTACATCATGATTCTTTCTTGGAATGTGTTCCTTGCATGTATTAAAGTCTACCAAAGTTTATTGTAGTGTATGTTAGCTGTGTAAAATATACCTCTAGGAAAGCTTGGGTGGCGAAGGTTGCATCCCAAAGTTGGGACCCGTTTGTTCCCTATCATCAATAATACAGTGATGTTAAAATTCTGAGATGTATGTATTATATTTTACCTGCATTTTCATTCCATCTCTACCCATCCTGTGTACACAACATACACCCAGATTATGAGCCAAAAATTGTAAGAAACCACCAAACTTTCAAAAATAGAAATTTTGCGGAGAAGAATGTAGTAATTGCTGGTCCTGCAATAAACCCACAAAATTTTGCAGAGAAAACTGTTGCATGTGGCTCACAAAACGAAATTCACAAAAGTTTTCTCGAATAGATTTCTACAATGAAAGCCTCGAAAGATTCCTACTACTAAAAGTGAAACTTACAAATCTCAAATGTATGGGCATAATGCAGGACAACCTGTGTCATCCCTATATTATACTGCAGTACTACTATACTTAGCAGAGTCAATCTAGAGAGTCAATAGTAGGGACAGTTCGATCTCCCAGCTCTCTGCTGGTGGGAGAAAGTAGTGTGTCGATTAGAGAAAGGGAGGAAACAGAGGGAGAGAAGAAGGGTGTTTCTTCTTCAGTAGGCCAAAAAAATGTTGCTACAGTACACTTAGCAAACGCACCAGAGGTAGTCTCTGACACGACGTACGTGCTCCTTGAAGTCAGGACTCTGGGGACCGTCCGCATGCCATCGCACCAACATCTGGACCACCTTCGATATCTACGTACATCACACGTGAAAAAACAACAAAGCTTTTCTGTGTTCTTGAACACCTTACTGTGCGTAACACTGTTATTAAATTTAGGGAGTTTGTCAGTGCATAAGGGCTAGACTTAATCAAGAGGGCCCAGTGCAAGAACATTTTATCAGGTTTTTAGATTTTATAAAGTTAGCCGCCAAAGGCACTGGCAAAATTTTTCAGCATCCTTAAACAAGTGCTGTAAAGTGTGAAAAATTTGTTTTCCTGATGCATTCACAAAGTACTTTTCAAATGCTTTCGATTTTGTTTGAAATGTTGATCTTACTGGTCCAATGCTGATGCAGTGCGTGAATCTGTCATCGGCTCTGATGTGCTCCAGACACTCTCGGACTGCCCAGGACCGCAAGTAGCTGCTGTGGACACTCTCATAGACATTGGCAATCCCTACACAAACCACAGGGTGCGTACACTAGGCAACTGCGTATCAAACTGTTCAACTACCACCCAGGACAGAAACAAATGGCTGCCCTAATGCATGGTCCCAACTTTTCCATTCTTCAGAAGTTCCACTGTATATATACTAGGGCAAAGATCTTACGTACTGGGTATGACTTGAAGACCCAGTGAGCTACGCACCAGGGCAGCTTATCAGGCAGAGCTCAAAAAAGGTAGAGGTCTAACGGCTCTCAAACACAATCCTTTCTGCTGCATTACCGAGCTTGGTTATCAGACATACTCACTAAGTGTGAGGTCAAGAGCGGTGCTATGAGGCGTGTAGATGTCACCAGGAGCCACATTGTTCCTCTGAGCTGGCCAGTCGATGCTGGCATATGGAGCAGTGTAGAGCTCTTCTCTCAGCTCAGTAATGATCTTAGACTCCGGGGCCTTCACTCTCCTGGCATAACAGTAGCCCATCGGGAGGTAGACCTATGAGAACAGGTATATATAGCCAGTACTATTGAAAGGTATTCTTTTGGATCTCCCCACCTACAAAATATTTCAGAGAAAACTGGCCCTTTAACTGTGAAAATTACCAAAGTTTTCACCCTCGAAAGAGTTTCCTATTATATTATTGTTCTCACCTGTCTGCAATGGCACCACCAGGTAGAGGGATGGATGGGTAGCCAAGATGGCAAGATCCTACATATATACGTAACATGAACCATTGTAAACAGAGTGAGCTGAAGAAGAGAGAAGGCATTACAAGAGGAGTCTTATATACATAGGTCAGGCAGAGCACTTTAAGCCAGGTTTATAACACGATGCAAGGATGGTGAATATATTTAGCTCTGCAATGCAGCGAATATATCTAATGTTCCAAAACGTGTAGAGCAATGTCACATCATTTTGTACCATACCATAATTCAGGTAGGAGTGTATTGAGACCGGTCCAGTCGTAGACACCCAGCACTGCAAGCCAGAACTTGCCCCAGGACGGAATCCCTGTGGCACCCCCAAGACGGTGGAGGAGGCCCCTGGCGCGGACAATGTCTCTGTCATCACGATCAACTCCCAACAGACGAAGAGTGGCGTAGTTGAGAGCTGTTCCAAATACGGTGGATTTCCCAGCTATATGCCTAGGAAATAATCATGAGAAGACCCAATGTGAAGTGTTCCACCCAGAAATGCCTAAAAAAAGGTAATAAAGTGGTACCCTATCCAAGGACACCCTGAAGTGAGGATATATACCTCTCCAATAATGACCCTTTTCTCAGATAATCTCACTTTTGAGTGGCTATTTGAGGTGTGTTTGTACTTACAGTCCCCATCCTCCGTCATCTCTCTGGACATTTCTGAGGTAGCGGATCATCTCCTTCTTCTGGGCCTCTTCCAGTGGAGTGTTGGTCACATGACACACTATGACAAGACCTGGACACACCACCACACAACACATTGCATGAGTGTATTGCTCATATATGGTTAAACTATACTTATTATAAACTAGAGAACCTCTCTTATCTGGACACCACTGGGTTCCACTGCATACTGTTCTGACCTGCCATTAGAAAGAGAGGACCCCCGTAATCTCCTGCCCAATGGCCGTCTTCTGTCTGCAGCTTCGAGTAGAACGTCATCCCGTTACCTGCAGCCTCTCTCGCGTTGGCGGCAGGAGTCAGAGCTGGTGCCTCAATACTCTGTGGGTTAGGATTATACAGCTAGCCCTGGACTTGTGAAGAATCATTTAGTTCACTCTGGTCAAATACAGATCTAAGTCACCTCAAGTAAAACTATAGTGAAAAGGTTAAACACCTATTGCGTACTGGTTTAACACACAGATAATACGCCTGCAGGTCTCAATACACTCTATAATACGGCTATAGGTAGCAGTGTCGTACTGTGTCCAGCCCAAGCGAGTGGAGCTCTGCAAAGTTCGACTCCCGCCCGAATTCTCCGCTGGCGTCATACCACCAGGTCTGTCTCCCTTTCTCGTTCTTCAGTCGCCACTTAGTCAGGTCCGTAGAGGCAATGACGTTCCTCTTCCTCGGCTCTTCCCCAGCCATCGTCTTTCTTGCTGATGCTACGCGGACGCACGCCCTGTCTCTCTGTGCACAAGGTTGTGCGCATGCGTGCGAGCTCTGTATGACGTAAGATTATGTAAACTGATGTGCGTGGTGCGATTTTTCTTAAATCTGATTGGTCCGTTTCTTCTCCAACTGATCGTGCAGCCCCGCCCAGTCATTCTGCATGGCGCGATCATCAGCCAGCCCATGGTGGTCTGAGCTGGGCAGATGATCGCGCGTGTAAACACCCGTTAGCTACTGAGCTACGCTCGTGCCATACACGCATAAACTCTACTCTTGGCTGCACCCTGTCAGATCAGGCGGTGCATCCACTAGCTAAGCCATAAACGGAGCCGCTGGGTTCAGCAGCAAAGATGGCTGCAGAGACCTTCTTCCCTGGAGAGACGCTCCGCTCTCTTGTGACCGTCCCCAAGGCAACGGGAGGGACCACGGTCGCCATTTTGGCAATAGTCACGTTGCTGTATCTCTACCGAAAGCTGGGCACAGGCTCTAAACCTCCAAAGGACCAGGTATAATGGCAATATCTACTGCAGCCATGGAAAATGAGTGCAGAAATCCTATATACAACGATGTAATGTGCCTGATGTTTTCGTGTAATGCTTGCTGCTGTTTTTGCAGACCTATCCTCCTTATATCCCCTCCTCTATACCCTTTCTGGGACACGCAATTGAATTCGGAAGAAGTCCGATCGAATTTCTCATAAAGGCACACAAAAAGGTATTACAGTTCATTATCCCTACACTTCTCCACCCACTTTTAAAGATTCCGTGTTTCTTGTTTTTCTGACAGTACGGCAATGTTTTCAGTTTCACAATGGTGGGAAAAACATTCACCTATGCCATCGGCTCTTCTCCGTGCTCTGTTTTCTTCAACTCGAAAAACGAAGACCTAAATGCCGAGGAGGTGTACTCGAAACTGGTTACACCGGTTTTCGGAAAGGGTGTGGCTTACGATGTTCCAAACAAGGTAAAGCTATCTCCTCCACTATTGAGGCATGTCCCTCCCAAATGTCAGGACGATCGAAAGGATGGATGAGCTCACACCCAGGTTCCTGGGCCACCTCCATAGCTCTCTTATTGGCTTCAGCCCATACCTCTGATAAAGGACACCTCTCTATAATGGACACTTGGCTCTCCCTCATACTAACAGTATTACCTCCGAATAACGGAAACACCTCTAAATAAAGGACACTTTCAATGTGTCCCCAAGGTTTTCCTGCATACCGTGCATACTTCACATGGTAACAGTTTGCGAAAGTTAACCTGAAAGTTTATTCAGAAGCAGCAAACGGGAAACGAAAACAATGATATTATGCAAACAACTGGGTCAGAGATTTCTCCTCAAAAAAGCCTGTGTTTTTTCTTCATAATTACAGCACAGATATTAATTAGAATCACTCTTTGGTGCACCTGGCTTCCAGTAAACACAGCACCTTAGTCTAACTTACGACAGAAAGTCGGTTCTTTCTCTTTCCCTCCCGACCTTTGTACTATATATACATACTGCGATCAACCTCGATTTCCTTTGCGGTAATGAGTTTGTTTACTGTTGTTGTTGTTGTGTTTGTTTGTTTGTGTTCAGTTGTTTATGGAGCAGAAGAAGCTACTGAAGACGGGTCTCTCGATGGCCCACTTTAGAAGATACGTCCCACTCATAGAACAGGAGACAATGGGATACTTCCAGAGATGGGGTGACAGCGGAGAAAGAGGTAGAATATTTTAGAGAGACAAATACAGTGAAAGCCTTCGAATAAGGGACACCTTGGGGAGATCGAAAGTGTCCCTTATTAGGAGACGTCCCTTATTAGGAGGATAATTCATTAGTAATGGACAAAACCGTAGCACCCATAGACACAAAGCAACACAATGGTGCGGTGTAAAGGTAGTAGAATCTTTCAACTGCGTTTTGATTGTCACTCCAGATCTGTTTGTGGCGTTGTCTGAGCTGATTATTCTTACGGCCAGCCGATGTCTTCACGGTAAGTTCCATCCCATATAGCTGACACATCTCGACCATCACTTGAAAAATTTGTGCTCAAAATTTTAACTGTCAGCTGTCATTCGTGCACCGAAAATTAACGAGTGAAGTCGTCAATTTTTTAACTGTCATGAACGTGTATATATACGGGCAGATTTACAAACAGTGCACCTGTTTCTCTATCCATTATACTCATGAGAACGCGGCATCATATTGGATTACGAAACAATTACATTTTCGTATGTGTGTGTATGTATGTATGTATGTGTATGTATGTATGTATGTTATCATCTTGCAGGGAGGGAAATCCGAGAGAGATTGGACGAGCACATTGCTCAGTTGTACTTTGACCTCGATGGTGGATTCTCTCATTTGGCCTGGCTCCTCCCTGGATGGCTTCCACTCCCTTCATTTAGGTAACATTGGCGGGCACTTGGCTCTCCCTCATACTAACAGTATTACCTCCGAATAACGGAAACACCTCTAAATAAAGGACACTTTCAATGCCCCCAAGGTTTTCCTACATACCTTGCATACTTCATATGGTAACAGTTTGCGAAAGTTAACCTGAAAGTTTATTCAGAAGCAGCAAACGGGAAACGAAAACAATGATATTATGCAAACAACTGGGTCAGAGATTTCTCCTCAACAAAGCCTGCTAGTCATGTGAATGCGGGAATTTTCTGTATGTGACGAGCACTGCACATACTGCAGTGTTCTACACGATGCACAAAAATTGAACGTCATTCTAAACAAGTGCGAAAATTATTGACCCACTTTCGCTCGCTCGGCAACATTTTCGTGCCATTCGTTGTAGTATATATCAGTAGCCTTGTTCCTTACAGTGTGTATATAATATAGGTGTGGCACATATCCTAGTAGATGAGGGCAGGCTACAGACTACGTAACATGACTCTAGATCCTTCTCCAATGCTAATGGTGTCTGGATACACGCGGCAACACGTGGGGGTGGAATTAGGGCTACCAAGTAATCACAATTAGCTGTGATCAACTGTGATGTATTTCTCCACTTGATGCTGTGTGGGACAAGCTGCGTAGGCCTTTGATTTTACTGTTCCTCTTCCCTTCCTTCCACTCTCTCTTTCTCTGTGTGTTGTGTGTGTGTGTGTGTGTGTGTGTGTGTGCGTGTGTGCGTGTGCGTTTCAGGAAGAGGGACAGAGCACGTATAGAAATGAACGACATCTTCAAGGAAGTGATTCGCAAGAGGAGAGAGAATCCCGATGAAGAGGACAAAGACGACATTCTCAACACTCTGATTCACGCCACGTACAAGTGAGCAAAGGCTTTCAGCTTCAGTTGATCTAAGTGCTAGAGTATCTCATTCACGCCACGTACAAAGTGAGTGTGTCAGTTTATCTACATACACCTCCATTAGATTCAATAAACTTTACCTAAAGTAGTGTTCACACTTAAATTCAGCATTGGCCCATGTTTACCTTAATGGGAGTGGGCTTAATTTAGAAAACGCTACTAAAAATGGCCATTCTTGCACTAGGCCTATTGCCTTTATGTACTGCCAGATTCCTTGTAGTCTCCACTAACTGATGGATGAGGTATAAATTTTGAGAAAATAGTATAGTTTCACTGTTTTAAAAGTCCTCTGTTTTGTGTGTGAGTTTGAAACATAGGTCAAAAAAAACCATACAATGAAACTGGGGGGTAGCTTGGTTTTGTGCAACAAACGATGGTTTGTTATAATGTGGAATAGATGGTTGTTGCATAGATATTATGGTTGTTGTTGTATTGCCATCATATGTAGGGACGGGAGACAATTATCTGACGACGAGATAGTTGGAATGTTGATTGGGCTTCTCCTGGCCGGTCAGCACACATCATCTACCACCAGTGCCTGGCTCGGATTCTTCATCGCTGGAAACAAAGAACTCCAGGTAACGTATACTACTGTCCTAGTGGACGTCTCAACAACTTGGTAGCGAGGTAGAGGGGCAAGGCAAGGCAAACAAGTCAACTACACCCAGGACAGCTCTTTCTTTTCAAAGAAAAGAAGAAGAGTTGCCCTGGGGGGAAATTGGGAGAAATTTTTGCATGTCAGTCTGATAATTATTGAAAACTGAGACAGCAAGAATTTTGCATGATTGACAGTCTAAAATAGTGCAAAAAGATATCCCCAGATAATCCACACACATGCCCGGGCCCACATACAATCAGTATGTGTAGCTATGAGCATTGTGTGCAATTAAAGGGGCTAACATGAGTGGTACACCGGCACCTACTCACCACAACAAATACTTCTAAATTGACCAGTGTCCAGTTACACTTGTCCCGACATGCAACTGCTCAATAGCACATGTCCTTTTCACCCTATAGTCTTGCCTTACGTTGAGCCAGTCTTATGTCACCGCATACTTATGACGACAATGCCTAGAGTACAATAGAACCCCTTCAACCCAGGACACCAATGTGACAGGAAAAAATGTTCATATTATGTACGTAGGTATTAGAGCAGTGAGACGTCCTTATTTCAGGGGTCAAATTGGACGGAAGAACTGTTCTTGGGGAAAGAAAAGGTGCCCTTATTAGAGAGGTGTCCTCATTTCAGGGGTGTCCTTAGAGAGATGTGTCCTCATCTCAGGGGTGTCCTTAGAGAGGTGTCCTCATCTCAGGGGTGTCCTTAGAGAGGTGTCCTCATTTCAAGGGTGTCCTTAGAGATGTGTCCTCATCTCAGGGGTGTCCTTAGAGAGGTGTCCTCATTTCAAGGGTGTCCTTAGAGAGGGGTCCTCATTTCAGGGGTGTCCTTAGAGAGGGGTTCCTTCTTGTGTTTTGCCTGCAGAGTATTGGGTTGACTGGTGGGTTGGTCACCCACATCTAGCCAAGGAGCACCCCAATGAATAAGGTTTTACCCTAGGAAGGATCTCATTGGTACTGAATGTCCTATATAGGGTTCTGTTGGTAACCGTAGCCTTTAACGTGGGGCTTTGGCTTGTGTTGTATCATACATTTCGAGCCCCTACCTGTGGTATTAGCTGAGTGGGTAGAGCACTCTGCCTAGATACAGTGCAGGCGTCATGGATTTGAATCTCATCCAGGGCAGCTCTTAGTCTCTAGTGTAGTTGATTTGCCTTTGCCTCACAACCTAGTTGGCAAGTGAAGCAAGCCTACCTAGTTGTCCCAATGCTATGTATACATGGCAGGCTGATTGGCACTGCATATACCCCTAATAGTTTAAATACTCAAAGAATTGCTCTTGCTTTCGCTTGCCAAAAATGTGTTGCATTCGTTCTAATTCCTAGTTCACGTGCTCATAATGTGTGCCTATTCTAAACGCAGGACCAAGCATATGGAGAGCAGGTGACTGTACGCGGACACGACCTCCCTCCGCTGGAGTTTGACCAGTTGAAGAGCCTGGAGTTTCTCGATCGCTCTCTGAAAGAGACTCTGCGACTGAGGCCTCCCATTATGACCATGATGAGGATGGTCAAGACACCTCAGGTACTGTACTATAGCTGTATGATGCTTGGTTGATGTATGTATGGGTGTGTGTGTGTGTGTGTGTGTGTGTGTGTGTGTGTGTGCGTTTTAAGCTGATGATTGAACAAGTTACAGTACTTGTGTCTCAAGTAAGGGTGTAGAGATGAAACAAGCTCCATACCATTATGCCTCTAGATTTGAAACTATACATACGCCTTTATCATTTGGAGGGACCCCCTGCATTAGTTCACATGGTCAAAAAAGAGAGGGAGGGGGGTGATCAATTTAAGCTGGGGCTGATCACATGCATTGGACTCTAAATACACCACTTGGCTTATCTCCAAGAGGCCCTGCCATAATTTCTAGACATTCTGTCTCGGGACCAAATTCCCATATTATAATATACTATACTATATTATACTACGCATAATATAGTATATGCTACGCCGTGGCCCTTGTGTATCCATGTTGATTGAATGCTGTGCCCCTTGCTGGGCACATGTTGAGTGTACTGTCACAGTACATGTAAGGGTGGTTTTCTGCGCTGGCCACCAAGAGCAACACATTCGAGATCAAAAAGAACTGCCTTTTGAAATGCTGTAAAATTAGACCTATGGTACAATACAAATGTACCCACGTTACTGGAGGAAAAATAACATGTATTCTCAATACAAAACAGACTGTGACCACCAGATATACACTGGGGTGTAGTTGATATGAAAGCACTTTCCTTGAGTAGGATTCACTCAAAAAGGGTGTTTATTTGTGGCCGACAAAGAGGGTGTGGGGAAGCCAATAGTGCAACAGTCCCACGAGTATTCGGGCGTCAAAACCTGTGTCGAAAGCCAATAATGTTAGGGATGTGCATCTGTGAATACCTACAATATCTTGTGGGGGCAGGAATTCCTCGTTGTGTTTTCAGTTCAGTAGGACGGATGATGGTGTGGCCCAGGACAGGTCAGGACTCTGTGATGACTACTGCATGCCAGTTCTCTGGAGTCACTAACACACCTAGTGTGACTTTGTCGTGCTACTTGTGCCACAGAAAGGCAGCATAAGAGAAACTCATGGGTCACTATGTACATAATGAGAAACTCATGTACATAAGAGAAACTCATGTACATAAGGAGAAACTCATGGGTCACTATGTACAAACTCATGGGTCACTATGTACATAATGATAAACTCATGGGGCACTATGTACATAATGAGAAACTCATGTACATAAGGAGAAACTCATGGGTCACTATGTACATAATGATAAACTCATGGGGCACTCTATGTAGTTGAACAGCAATACTATTAGAGAGTGAAGCCCTGTGTTGATGAGTACACTAATAGGCCACTACCAGTTAAGCTGTTGGGTAGTTTCCACGGATATTGATACAGGTTTTGTAGTAGGCCACAAGTCATGTGTGGTATATACCATGCTCTATTGTGGATACTGACCTATATATACAGGTCGTGGGAGGTTATACAGTGCCAGTGGGTCACCAGTTGTGTGTGTCTCCCACTGTAAACAGCCGTCTGGAGGAAGTATGGGACAATCCCCAGCTATTCAACCCTGACCGGTATGTATGCTATTCAACCCTGACCTGTACGTATGTCACATAAACCCCTCCCCCAACAATTTGCCCGACTATAAACATAACCCCAAATGTTGTGTCACAACAACCTTTTAACCCTCACAGGTATTTTACATGTATGTATGTACATCCCCACACCCCCACACACACAGAAATATTTCTATCTATTGCTGAAATATGATCTAAAGCACTTACCCTATCAATTGCACCACCTGTGCACCCCACTACATAACTAGACTTCCCTTACTTATCATTATTGCAGGTTTCTGGATAAGAGTGCCGCAGACAGCGAAAAATTTGCCTACATACCGTTTGGAGCAGGTAAGCCTTACAAATAAAGACCTCAATTATTAGTGAGCGTTAAGAATTTTTGTTCTTGCCGACAGGTCGCCATCGTTGCGTCGGAGAATCGTTTGCGTACATGCAGATCAAGACAATCTGGTCTGTCCTGCTCACGAAATACGAGTTTAGCCTGATTGACGGGTATTTCCCGCCCGTTAACTACTCGACGATGATCCACACACCCACAAGACCCGTCATTTCTTACAAGAGACGCTGACGTGTTTTTTTTCCCCTGGAGACTTTACTTACTAATCCATAGAGACTTACAAAGTTGTGGAGGAAACGTATTTCTGTGTAAAAAGTGTGTAAGGCTAATTCATACGTGCACAGCTCCCAATACTATTGAATTTCACACCTTTAAAAAGGAAATGTTGATTAATATTTGCACTGAATACAAGACACTACAAGCAGGGGATTTATAGGTTCAAATGGTACATACATACAAGGGTTAAACAACACACCGGCATGCAATATATTTTTTATTGCACTAGTTTCGACTACTACATACATGTATTGAATGAACATCAAAGTTTTTAAAGATCACAGCAGAAGTTTGCTGAAGCAGATCTCCGACATCATTAGTCGTCATATGAGGAGCTAGAAGCTGAATTGACGGCACTGATGATGATAGAAAAGATGATGAACCCGACAATAGAGAACGAGCCGGTCAGAATGCCAGCAATGCCCCAGTTCCTGGCCGTGCGAGAGGCGCTTACGGCTCCAGCGTGGTTGCCACGTGACCATTCAGACTCCACCTACAATAATTATAGAACAACATAAAACTTCACAGAGGGGTATAGAAAAAATGTTGAGAGCGGCATAGAAAACTTTACAGAGCAACATAAACATATTTCAGAGCAACAATACTTTATGCAGACTCCACCAAGTAACAGATGAGACAGTGGAAATCCTATCTAAGGGCACCCCTAACCCTGAAATAAAGACACCTCTCTAATAAGGACGTCTTTTCTTTCCCCAAGAACCGTTTCTTTTTTGACGTAAGGACACCTCACTAGTATTAGGGACACTCCTGGTGTCCAGAGGGATTCCACTATCAAGGCTATTTTAAGAGTTGCCGTGTGGTGTAGTTCCCTTTGAAGCACATAGGTATCTTCAATTTTGCTTCACTACACTCCTACAATTACATTACCATACTGTCAATAGAGGGTATATATATACAATTCTTTAAATTCTTCGCAGCGATATGAACAGCCTTTGCCCATTTGCCAATTAGGGACTGCTATTGCATATGTCCACTAAGCAGTTCTTTTTCCTATAGCGTAAAGTACACAGACTTAGCATGGGCTTAAAATGATAAATAATATTATACAGACCTGTATGCTGTAGAAGACTCCAATGAGGCCAAAGAGAAAGCAGCAGAAGAGTAGGGTGAGGATGTTCAGTACCACGTAGGTGGGAGGTGGGTACTGGGGGATTACGGCACAGACCGTAGGTGCGGTGTTCACAACCTAGAGTAGACGAAATAGGTATGGTTAGGTGTCACAGTAGACGAAATATTATACACTTTCAATGGTTTAGTCATGCGTGCTGCCTCCCATAGTAAAGTTTTCTGGTTAATGTAGCTAGTGGCTATTGATGAAGGATATACTGGTGCCCTTACAGTGCAGGATACATAAATGTGGGCCTATTCACTAAATGAAGAGCATGGCTAGCCTACATGAATTCATACACATAACTAAACAGCAGTTTGTATGTATATACTCAAAAGCAGATTTACCCCTAGCCTAACAATAACAGTGCTTTCTTTGACGGCAATTTTTCTGCTATAGCGAAAAATACGACGGCTCACTTGACGCACGAAGACAGTGCCGTTAAAATGCAGCGCCTCGTTTGAAAACGCGACTTCGTCGAACTCACAGCGACAGTAGTGTTGTTGGACGTCGTATGTTGTGGCGCCATGGGCTGGTAGTAGCCCGGCGCCGGCTGATGGAAAGTCGGGGGCGCTGGCTGATACTGCGGTGCGGGCTCGCCGGGCGGCGGAGGAGGAGGGTAGGTGCCCATTTGAGTCGGCGGCGGGACATGGGGATCTGCGGCAGAGACGAGTAAAAATCTCGTTGACCCAGCTAGTGCTAACTTTACCGTAAAGATTCTGTCCGGAAGACATTTTGCAGGTTTTGCAGAGGTAATTCTGTAGAGACACAACAACAGCAGCAGAACCACGAACTCCAATAAACTGGCAGAACGTCGCTGGCGGAATGTCCGCTCGTCGTACGTGGTTCGTTTACTGCGCATGCGTATATACGTGTTTATCAACAATAATGACAATGCCCACTACTACTGCGTAATGAGCTCTCGGATATCACAGTTCCCTATTGGCGGCTCCTGTTTCTTGTGCTGGGCCAGCGGCAAGCCCACGAAGAGAGCGTGCAGTATATGCAGCGGGTCCTGGTGCGAAACAAGTATCACCACTTTCCCGGCAAACTCTTGGTTCACTGATTTCACAACGGCGCTCATCCTTGCAGCAATGGTAGCCACACTCTCTGCGTTGTGCTCGGCAGTCATCACATCTTCTTCGTCGTTTTTCCACAGATCGAAGAGGTTTGGAGTCATACTTTCGCTGACATGCAATAGGTCCATGTCACCCATGTCTCGCTCACGAAGACCTTCGTTCAGTCGAAGCGGCACCTTGGGCTGAAGGGTGCTGTGGATTATTTCGGCCGTCTCTCGTGTCCTGGTGAAGTCTGAGCTCACGATGACTATGTCTTCACTGGAAACTGAGCCAATCAGTTCTTTCAGCTTTTCACCAGCCTGTTGAAAATGCGTACATACACAATAATACTCTGATGTGGTTTGATATAACAAACTTAGAACAGCAGAGCCTGAATTAGCCTGTATAGAATACCTAGGCTTGCAGCCCACATCAAATAAATTGTATGCATAGCTAGCTAAGTGTCTTACAGCCTTAGCCTGCTTTCGTCCTTCCTCTACAAGTCCCCATAACGTAGTTCCTTGTTCAGGTTTAGTCACTAGCACCTGTTTCACGTTCGACTCCGCCTGCAAAGAGTCAGGAGCTTGATGAGAATGCAAGCATGTACGTACCAGGCCGTGCCGCACGATGAAAGTCCTGTTTCTTAGCTTGAAACCTTCGCCAAGATACTGCGAAAACTCAGCCATAAGCACAAGCTCAGCCTCTCGTGTTCATCCGGTCGTATGCGCGCGCATGCGCACTTTAAAAGAGGGCGTGGTGGGGAGAGGTAGCCGTCGTCTTCGATCGGAGAAGGGAATGGCTGAAGCGCACTTACCGTCAAAAGAGGAGGCCAGATTTTCAGGCCTCACTAATCTGCGGAACAGAATCTTTATCATGAGGCATGGGCAAGTAAGTGGGCCGATCGGGAGTGTGAGCACTAACTAATCACTCTCTCTTTTTTACTTGTTCATTGGCGACAGAGCGAGGCGAATGCCCGAGGCCTGATCGTATGTTCTCCGGATGTCGGGTGTTCCAGCTACGGCCTCACGGACTTGGGCAGATCTCAGGTCCTGGAGGTCAGCCCTTACTACCCTTCTCCCTCTCATTTGTCAATGGATTTTGCCTGCAGATCTTTATTCTACCATCTTCCACAATCTCGTAGATTTCATGGGTGTTTTCAATACTCGGACATAATGTATATAGAAAACCGACTCGGTAGTTGACCCCATACTTAGTAACCCAGTCACTAGGCACACTGATGCTACAGCTTCTTAACAAACAGTCAGTAATCCCCATTCCTTTTTTATGTCGATGTCTAGACACCATTGCCAGTACTGTCTATGATTTTGCACAGGGTTGCAAGACTCTGCAGTCACTCCTACAGTCTTCCTCCCCGCCTCTCTCTCCAGACATCGACATCGTAATCGTCAGTTCAGATTTCAAGAGGGCATCGGAAACTGCACAAATTGTGAAGAACCGTTTCAAGATTGCATCGGACATAATCTTAGAACCGGCACTGAGGGAACGGGATTTCGGTCAGCTAAACTTGACCAGCGATGCAAACTACCAGAAAGTTTGGGACGTTGACAGCCGAGATCCGCAACACACAGAATGTGGCTGTGAGAGTGTTGCCAGCGTAGTTCTGAGAACATCCAGACTTTTACAGCGACTCGACCTCGAGTATAAAGACAAGGCAATCCTCTTGGTCTCGCATGGCGACACTCTGCAAATCCTGTCAACACTGTTTCTGGGGATTCCTCCAAATGATCACAAAACTCTCCCCAACTTATTCCCAGCTGCCGTCCGGGAATTGAAACAAGATTTTATATAAGTCTTTCTCATTATTAGTGATGCGTGAGAGTTTATAATTATGCATACACACCAGAGGTAAGAAAATGTGTGATGTGGCGTATTACAAAATGTGCCAAAAAGATACAAAAATGATTGTGAGAGAGAGATATAATATATATAGACCAGCGATGTGTATTGCACATGATTCTATGCCGAGAAATGCACGCGAACGAGGTGGGGAGCTAGGAGTGAGCTTTGGCCCTTGGTCGTACGGGTGGTGGAGGTTGTTTTGGGCGAGTTCTCGTGGGTGACAGTTTTCCGTTCACTGTCATCGTCGACCCACCTCCTTCGCCGGAGAGGAGCATGCTGACTCTCCTGTGTCTCGTCTCTACGGGTCTGTACGCTTTGGACTTCATATCTGCATTGAAGAACAATATTTATTCTGTGGTTCTCACTGCATAATAGATCATTTGATATATAGATACAGTGGTTTTTGCTTTAATTATTCTCAATGACTGCTTGCTTTCTGCTTGAAATATCCCACGTACATTATACACAATTATAAACACATCGGCAACCTTTGAGTAAGGGGACACCTTGGTAAATCAAACTTGTCCTTATTCATCCTTTATTTAGAGGATCACTTTTCACTGGTGTTTCTGTTCCTTACATACTTATATACTACGTTCATGTATTTACTCTCTGCTATTATAGAGAATGACATAATGATACAAGAAAGATTATTACCTGTTATTATTTCATCGATAGCACCGTCATATATTTGTGGTAGAACATTTGGAGAGTTGCAGTCCTGAAGTCAATATTATACAGAACATTAAACGGAATGTTCAAATACGTCTGTATTATTACCTCATCAAATACTGACGACCCTTCAATTTTTCTTTTATCTTGCTATTATATTGAGACATGTATAATTAGAGTTGGTAAGATGTACAGTGTTCTCGGGAGTACACAGTACGGTTCACTTACCGCTCTTTGAAGAGCTAGCTTTGCCAGATTGGATGTGTGGGCTTTCTGTGTTTTATAGAGCACAAGAAACAATGCTCAAGTCAAAGTATTAGAGGACGATCCTATTTCACTCAGTATTCCGCTGACTGATCAGCGGACTTCTACATATAGAAATCCAAAGTATTAGAGATATACCGTATAACACTCATAAAAAGCCTAGTAAGGTAGAACTGCAGGCAATAACTGCACGCTAGAAGAAACTCAATAGTGAAAAGTACTTGTGCATTGTGGGGTGGAAGAGAGATACATAATAGAGCTTACTCTGAATGCAGTCACGAATCTCAACAGGACGGGAAAAACGGCATTGGGTTGGGCAGTTTTTGGGTTCTCCCCAAAGTATGCACCACTTCTTGAAATGCCTCCTGGATGGAAGACCATGAAAGAGCTACCGTATGGTGTTTTTTAAATAATATTATATATACTGTAGCACACTACAAATTCTCCTTGATGACTTAGGTGTGACATCTATATAGTATGCTGTCAATAGTCAAAAAGTAAGCTACTGTATGATGATGACCGAGTGATGGATATTTGTGTACTATGTAGTTTTAGTAGCCATGTAGACAGTGTACGTATGCAACTAAAACGTGTCAAAAGTAAGCTACTGTATGATGATGACCGAGTGATGGATATTTGTGTACTATGTAGTTTTAGTAGCCATGTAGACAGTGTATATATAGGTATGAAACTAAAACGTGTCAAAAAGTAAGCTCATATTATGGATAAAGACCAAAGCACTGGTCGAAATCTTTTGTGTACTAGTGTAGTAAAGACAACAGTGTACTGAAGCAGTAGTTTTTAACGTGTCTCATGAAATGGAAATATAGACCATACATTGGCAGTGGCAAAGTCAGCCTCCAGTCTGGTTACTCTTGGCTCAGCCTCCAGACAGAATTTCTGCATTTACAAAAGACAAAGAGTATGATAATTATGATATGATAGTCAGTTCAGTCAGTTCAGGGTTTGAGCAGAGCAGAAGATATGCATAACTGAAAGTGAATGTACAAATCTCAAATGTATGGGCATAATGCAGGACAACCTGTGTCATCCCTATATACTAAGTACTACCGTACATAGTGATAGTCAGTTCAGGGGTTGAGTAGAGCAGAAGATATGCATAAGTTGGATCTGATTTAAACTGAACATACAAATCTCAAATGTATGAGCAATGCAGGACAACCTGTGTCATCTCTATTTACTAGTGCTAGTCAGTTCAGGGGTTGAGTAGAGCAGAAGATGACTTACTTTTAGTTTTTTGTTCTGTTTGTTTTCGACTAGTTCTTTTGTAGTTTCTTTGAGTCCTCTGCTCATCTGCCTGATGTCCACCCCCAGTAACTGGAGCGAAACTGAAATAGGAGAATGTAAACATAATTATTGTACAGAATGTCAGAAATACTGAAATGGGTCACTAAAACAAACGTTTTTGCTGGCATTTTCAAACAGGCAACTCAAGAGATTATCTGCCTGTAAAAAAATTTGTCTGAAGATGACAGCTTTCTAGACATTTGCAAGTGATTTCTCCCGTCATCTGGATCACTGAGTTAAAGGTCTCACCAGTAGCAGCCTTCTCGAGGTAGGTGACTTCGTTGACAAACTCGAGGACGTTTGGATATTTCTCTCTCACAACTCCTGCCACAAACCCCATTAGTGTCGTGCTCCGGTCACCCGGGGCTCGTGTGTCTGAAACCTGCAAACAGAACAACGAAATTTGCACCATCAGTGTAAATTTTTACCATCGGTCTAAATTTTTAGGTCTGCCAGTTGTTTTTTCACTTTGGTCTAAAATTATGAGGGTATGCTGTATAAATTTGACTCACGATGTCTAGCGATTGTAGCCTGAAACCAAAGACTCCTCCTCTTCTGCTGCTGTTCATGTAGTTACCAAACGCCAGGAATACCTGCATGTGTGCTCATGATATACAGTGGAACTTCTGAAAAATGGCCTTCTAATTAATGGACACTTCTCTGCAAAGGACACTGGTTTTGCCCCATGCTAATACATTAGTGTATTGCTGAATAAGGGTAACTTTAATAAACAACACTTATATAGGTGTTCCCAGTCTTTTGTTTTTTGTCAAAAGTACGTACTTCAAATAGCTAGTTACTAACCTCTAGTATCTTCTGCCGGCTCGCTGGGGACTGCTGCGGTGCGTTGCGTTGAGTATGGTTTTGGCGGTCTGGTACCATCTGGGCACGAGCGTTTCCTCCGCAGCCTCCTTTGACTTTCGGCCGGAGGGCACTGCCGGCATTCGCCTTAGTCTCTGGCGCAGCAGCGTGCAGATGGCTCTTGATCATCTTTGGCTGGGCGTCGGGCCGGACAACTTTCTTTACAGCTATCGCAGCGGCTACATCCTGCCCGCAGCCTGGCGCGATCCCAGCCTCAACCATCCCCACAATGTCGTGCTCGACTGTGGGCACGGCGGCTGCGGCGGCCGGTCTATCAGCAGTGAGCTGCGGCTTGCTGGCAATGTACCGCTCACCTGGCGGCGAGACGACAAGCCAGATTGTACTTGACGGTCGGCGCGCTACGGCGCCAGTCGCGGCCCTGCACGCGAGACACGGCATCTGATTGATTTTGCCTCCTACGCTTTGCCAGCCAGATCTGTACTCTGCATGTGGCGGCTTTCTGCTGCATCTGTTTGCGCCACAGTCCGCAACGGAGTAGAGGGGCCAGCCGCAGGTAACCCGGCGCACAAGGAAACCGATGTTGACTGTCGCTGCCGCCATGGGGCGACCGGCCTATCTGTGGCGCGTTGCTCAGCTGTCGCGCAGCAGAGATGCACAACAGCTCAGCGACAAACGACGCACGGCACAGCCGATAGTGTGGTTAGCTCGGGACGATCACACCATTCCGGGCGGGCCCCGGGCGGCTAAATATGCAGTCGCTGAAGCGCAGGCTATAGAAGGTGTAGTAGAGGTCGACGTGTTGCACAGCATGATCGGAGACGCTATCGCCGGTCGATCTGCACTCGCAGAAGCAGATCACCGCCTCGTCACAAGTCGTAAATCCGACAGAAGTAGTATGCGCCCGCCAGATCCATGAGCGGGTCGCCGATCAGCGTCAGCGGGCTGAAATCCACTACTGCTGTCAGGATTCCGCGCTCGTCACAGAGGGCACTTGACCCACAAAGAGTAGACACACAACCTCAGCACCAAGACATTTGTCGGCGGCGGGCGGGTAGATCGCCTGAGTTTGTCTGTGCTGTGAGAACTCGTCCACGATCCGGTCCACTTCGGCCAGGTCTTCTAGTCAGAATCGGGCGCTGCTAGGAGTGCGACAAAAGGGTTGCCGCGAGTCCGACGCGCCTGCAGGAAATCCCGGCCACTGTTTAGCCGCGGTAATCTCTCTCCCCACACGTGAGCGGTCACCATAATGGTGGCTAGCGGCCATTGACCATGAATGTAAAGGGGGAAGCGCATCCAAAATAGAGGAGAACGCGCTGCGCCGTTCGCTAGGGGTCGTCAGGCGGGAAATACCAT